ACTTAGATTTCAGTCTTGAACCTTAATGAAGATTTGGATGAAAAATCAACATGAATTCAATTTCAGCTTTTCCCAAAAGTCTCTGGGATTTTTAAAGTTATCTCAGGGTTCAGTAGATTGTAGTTTAGAGACAGAGCAGGACTGGAGCTGATTCAGCCTCTCAGAGACTGATTATGGTCCATCTAAGCTCACAGCAGAAGGATGAGGCCATCACGGCTGCTCCACCCTTCACAGGAGGAACCCCGACTCCTCCTGGACTAAAGGTTTGAGCAGATCACCTCTGCAGTTCTTCATCCGTCCACCAGGTGTCCTCAGTGCACCTGCATTCGCAGATCACCTGACCATCTGAGTCACCTGACCACCTGCTCCGTTTGTTTTGTTTTTTTTTAATCTTTCTTTTCCATCCATGTGATCTTCATCGGGCTCTGATCAAAATGAGTTTATTATAATGTCATTATTAATTTCTGTTTTTCTATGTGTCTGTGTGTGTTTGTGGGCCTGGTGCCTCTGTCTGCCTGGACACCGATGACATCATGTGGTCCCTGTTCTGTGATTGGCTGATGTTTGTGTATGAGCTCGTAGACATTCAGAGAGAGTCACAGAGCTCCTGCTGATGATGATAAAGATGAAGGTGTGGGTGCTGCTCCTCGTCCTCTCTTCCGTCCTCTGTGTCTCTGCTGATGGTGAGTCTCTAAATCACTCATTAACTCTGTTTTAATGAACTTATTAAAAATACTAGTGAGTAAATGAACTCTGTCAGAAGTCCGAAACAGAAAAGACGAGCACGCGCACACATTTATCACGTGATCGTTAAACTTCACCAGCTGATTACTGGGACACAGTTTGTCTAAATATGAGCTTGTTCACAACACAAACACTCTTCCCCAGTCTGACAAAAAAATCAGAAAAACACACATTTTTAACAACATACGTGTTGTTTGACTAATAGTTTAAAAAAAAGAGATTGTAATGAACTCTATATTTGAGGATTAAAGCATCAGGCTGATGGTTCCTGTGTGACTCACATTTGCTGACAGTCAGCACTGAATAACAGACACTGAATAAGCTCTCTGTTCTCCTCAGGTCTCTACGAGATGAACTCCATCAGCGGCTGTTCAGACACTGTTGGAGAGGATGTGCTGATACTGGATGATGAGGTGGTCTGGTACGCAGACTTCAACAAACAGACAGGTGTTGATTCTCTGCCAGCCTTTGCAGATCATCCGCACTGGCAGGAAGGAATGTATGAAGAAGCTGTGGCTAATCAACAGATCTGCAGACAAAACCTGAAGGTGGCTCGTTCAGCTATGAAGGACTTCCCCAAAGAACTCGGTAAACACAACTCATCAACCACACAGTCCACATGTTAAGAACAGAAGTACGTTTCCAGCTTGGGAGTAAATCCTGTAAATATTTCACTCTGTTAAAGTGATAAAAAACAACAACCAGAGCTTTATGGCAGATAAATCGCGGAGATCCAGTTGTCACAGGCTACAGGTTAGATCAGCTTTGCTGTCATTATCCTGACACTCAGGTGTACAGTATGTAGTTGGCTCACTCTAGTTTTAAATAACATATGATGCAAGCAACAGAATAATGGTGTTATCCTGAGGTTAATCCAAGCTCACAAAGTGTCTGTATTCACCAGATTACAGATATAAACTAGAACAAAAACACACAAAGATAATCCAAATTTGGTGAGTTAGTGTTATCTTAAAAAAAACAGCAACGTGTGTGAAATGATTGTTGAGAAATCTCCAAGTATTGTGAAGAAACAGAAAATATTTTCTAAGTTAATCTTTCTGAGTTAACTTCAGTAATTAGTTCCTGCAAACTATTAATGCGTTTTTTTGAGAAAGACATGAACAAACCTGAGTGGCCTTGCAAGTCGGTTCCTATCAATCACTTATGTTATGACAGCCCCGTCTAGATCGTGGGACTTGTTAACCAGGGATGAAGCCCAGACTGCAGGTTTCAGGGGAAGATTTTACTTGCTAGAGCAACCAGTTAGATCTATTTGGACTTAAATAGATTTATACTCAAATTCACACCTTTATTGTTTCACAAAAAGTTAGAAAGGGAAGTTTAGACACAGTTTAGACTTTAACAGCACATTAAAAAAATAATAATCGATTCTAATTACTTAATTAACCCACTCTGAACTAATGGTGATGTTGTTCCTAGCTTTGGAGGAGAGAGGTTGGTGGTGAGAGAGGCCCTTCCAGTAGTGTAGGTATGTTCCACCTCAGTGCTCTGTGTTATTGAAAATAATAAGGAAGCTACGATTCACAGGGAGAACCTTAAAAGGCTTAAGAATCTGCAGTCCGCCTGGTAAATGATGGACGCCCAAATCCTTCTCAGAATCATAATCCAACACAGCGATGATGATGAGCAGAAATAGACGACATCATTCTGCTAAGATGTTGATCAGACTTTGATTAAGAACAAAGATGATCTACTTACTAGCAGCTCTCTTTAGCACTCTTATGTTTATGACAAAAGAATTTCTCTCTGCCTCGGTAAAGTTCTTCTTCTCTTGTCCTATCTTATCTTAGTTTATATTATCTTATCTTATGCTATGGAAATATAATGCTTCCTATGAAATGAAATAGGGAACCTTCAGTATGTATTTCCACTTTATCACATGACATGAAACCAACAAAAAAAATCTGTTCTTGCACATTTGTGTTTTTTCCATTTTCACTAGAAACTGGAGTTCAGCAGCAGAAGCTTCTGTTTCTTTCAGTTTTTTGTTTTCTCGTGTTATTGAGTGCAGCCTGTCACGCGGTGTTGTGAGCAAACTGTATGTGTTTGTGCACAGATGCTCCTGACAGTGTGGAAATCTACACTATAGTAAATGTGGAGATTGGAGTCCAGAACACTCTGATCTGTCATGTGACTGGTTTCTATCCTGCTCCCGTTAACGTCACCTGGAGCAAGAACACGAAGAAAGTGGTTATAGGAACCAGCATCACTGTTCCCTTATCCAACAAGGATGGTTCCTTCAGCCAGACGTCCAAACTGGACTTTGTTCCAAAGGGAGGAGATTTGTACGCCTGCACAGTGGAACATGTGGCCCTGACCCAACCAATTACCAAAATCTATGGTGAGTATATCAGGTTCAGTTTATTATAAAATGTACCAACAACAGTAATCACAAGGTGAGTTATATTCTAAGGCAAAGGCTCCATGTGTGCAAAGCAATGGAAGTGTGTTCAATGATCTCTAATAATATGATCTGAAATAAAAAAACAAGCAGAAAGTGTTGGTCCCAGCACAGAGGCTGACTGTTTACAGATGTGAAGGTCCACGTCTCTCTCTGTCTCTGCAGAGGTGGAGGACGTTGAATCCATTCTGGAACCTACAAATTTTTGTGGAGTGGGTCTGACTGTCGGTGTCCTTGGCGTGGCAGCAGGAATCTATCTTTTCATCCGAGGAAGAAAGTGATGCTGATCGGTTGATGCTAATGTTTTAATAAATTTCGAGGTAGACACCATCCTGTGATGAACTGATTTTTATATGATTCAGTACAAATGAAACATGTGGAGGAAAACTGTGGCAGCTGGTCCAAATGATCTCAGACCCTCCTGATCCTCACTGGGACTGATTATTGATGTGAAACAGAGAGTTTCACGTCATTAAAGATTTACTGAGGAAATGTTGATTTCAGTGTGTTTCTGAATGTTTCTGTTGTGGAACGGTCTCATGCTGTATTTGGTGAGCTGATTTTTCTTGTGTGCAGAATGAAGATGAAGCTCGTGACTTTTTGAATTAAAATAACTGAATGTTTCTTTTTGATATTAAATTCATTCTTTTTATGGAGCAGCAAAACTGAAAAACAAATAAAAATCAGGTTAAAAGAAAGGCTAAAAAACTCAGGCCTTATCAGACTTCTATTTCTATTAATTGTTTCAAAGGTCTTGCACGGGAACTTGAACAAATTAAACCTGATTACATTTTAAGAAAAGACTCAAACAGGTCACTGACTGAGTTGAGCCACATGGTGAGGGCGTTCTGAGGCAAACTTCCACAGAAAGGATGAATTCAACACAAGTTAACCTTAAATCCCACTTTGATTAAGCGTGACAATAAACAGTGGGGACATTTTTCTTTAATTTTGTATTATAAATTCCGTCTTTGTCTCTTCTTAGCATGTTGTGATGTACTCAGCGTTAGCATTAATGCTGAGATGTATTTTAGAAAAAATGCAGAACAAAAGCAAATTAAGATCAACAACAAAAAGGAACAAAGTCGGCGATGTTAGCTCACAGACTAAAAGCTGAGTAGCTACCAGTGTGGGTGTTAATAACTCAAACATTTATTTTGATATATTGATAACATGTGATTGCACAGGCGTTAGTGTAAGATGTTCTCAGCTTCCACAACCACCAGTCAGGCTGCAAAGACTCCCTGATTTGGTCAGTCAGATACTGAACAGTCCTATTGTTGACTTCACTTAGGGCTCAGAATGAAGCCTCCAGACTCCAAACTACTGGCTTCTTTCAGTCACCTTCAGGCCACGACACACTTAATATTGTTTTTTTTAAATCCATCAAAGTCTTGTGTCACTTCCTTCTAAAAGAAACTGCTTGCTGATCATCTTCTCTGCTCTTACTCCTCTGTCCTCTCTTTCTTACATCTTTGTCACATTATTACTAGTTTCTCTCCCTGGAAATAAAGTAAGTGTACCTTTAGCCAACAGGACGAACTGAAACTGCATAAACACTGTGTGTGTATTTATTGATCTGTTAAAAAGTTTCATCTGAAACTACATGCCATAAAAATGTTTACGCTCTCTACACTTGTTTGGAGCAAGTTAGATGCTGAGTATTGTCTCCACCGCTTTATTTATATGTGCACCATGAACACATGACTAAGATGAGAAGTGAAAGAATGTGCTGAGGGTGTAAACTGTGAGCTGCGGGATGTTTGGGCGCTCTCTGACTGACGCACACAAAAGGAAAGAAAAAAGGTTTTATTTTTTAAATTTTTAAATTTTTTTTATCTAGACTTCATAATATGTTTGAAGTCAGTCATTCCATTATTTATAAGTTAAATAAATGATCAGATTTTGGTCTTTTTTGGTATTTCAGAGGAAGTCTGTTCGAGTTAGAGCATTTCCAGCTGAATAAATTAAAGCTCATTTCCTGGTTTCCTGTCACAGATTTCTTCCTGGCAACAGATGATGCTGCAGATCATGTGACGTGCCCTCTGGTTTTTAGCACTGTGTTCAGTCAGACTGTCAGAGTTTGTCAGGAGAACTCAACATGGATTCATATTTTCTCTGCGTCAGCCTCTTCATCATCATCCTCTGCAGAGCAGGTATTACACATACACTCATCAACATTCAATCAATACACTCACATGTATGTTCAAAGAGTCTAAATGCATCAGAGATGTTTTATTGATTAAATGAACGTGACATATGAGCTGGGATTAGCTTTTTGTCCTTAACCTGTGATGATCCTCCTCTTCCTCTCAGAGCTGGTTCCATTTCTTCAGTGATTGTTTAGATCACTTGTTTTCATCAGCTGACAGAGTCAAATGAGATCAAACACAAACATCATTTGGCTACTTTGTTTACCTTTTTCACTTCTTCACATTAACCTCCTGGGACTTGTTCTATTAAAATTTTAAATGAATATCCTTATAGTTGGCTCTGATTTTCCATAAAAACAAAAATAAAGTAAAATCAAAATCTGGTAATTCTTTGTTTTTACAGTCATCGGGCCCCAATCAGCCCAAATATCAAAGAGAAATTAAAAATGCATGTTGTGGAAGAGTTCGGGTCTGAGGAGGTTAATAATGAATACACCAATCATCAGTCACTGAAAGCAACTGTTGGCCTCAGTGTTCGCACAGTTTACTGGACATAAACTTTATCATTTGTTATGATATAATATTTGTTTTGCACAGTTTTTCAATATATCACTTATAATTTCTATTTTGTTTTTAGTGGATGACGTCAATTATGAAATGTATGAAGTGATATGTGTAATATTGTGATGCACTGATTTGCAAACTTTTACACTGGATGTTCTTCCTGACAGAGAGCTGTGTGTCCTCCTGGTCTCAAACCAGACAAATGTGCAAACCTCAGCAATATTATATCATATCATGTGTTTATACAGCACAACTGCACTAAATCATTAGCAGTCCCCATAGGGGGTCATGTGATTGTTGGAGTTTGCTGTCTAACGTTTAACATTGTTTAACATTGAGTGTTTACAATGTAAAGCACCTTAGCAGACTGCTGTTGTGAGATGGCACTATATAAATAAAAGTGACATATTGTATTTCAAGTGATGTGACAGTGATGATGTTGCTGTTGTGGGGCTCCAACAGTAGCTGTGTGTAACTCCTGACAGTAGAGATGTATGTGTGGGGGGACCAGCTCAGCCTGAGTGACTCTCTGATCTTTGTGTTTCAGATGGATACGAGTATTACACTTCATCCCGCTGCCTGTTTAACTCCACTGAGCTGCAGGACATAGAGTACATCAGATCTTACTATTACAACAGGATAGAGTATGTCAGGTTTGACAGCAGTGTGGGGAAGTTTGTTGGATACACCGAGTACGGTGTCAGGGAGGCAGACCAATGGAACAAGGATCCTGGACAGCTCACCTCAATGAGAGCTCAGAAGGAGACGTACTGCACACCAAACATTGACCTTTGGTACCGAAGTGTTCTGACAAAATCAGGTGAGTCAGTGTTTCTGTGGCATCATCGGATCATCGTATAAACATCATCACACTGATGCATATTCAACACAACTCCTGCCTGGACCTTCTGCACAGTTTACAGTAACACTGCTGAAGGTTTAATGTGGCACGTTCAATAAAGCTACACCATCTCTGGAGTTCACACCGGAGTGTCTGTGGTTTGCGGCGTCCTGCTTTAGTTTGTTGCAAAATTTACCAAAGTCATTTTCATTTTCATGTTCCAGCGAAACCATTCGTCAGACTTCACTGGACAAAGCCTCCCATTGATCATCATCCTGCCATATTGGCTTGCAGCGTCTACGACTTCTACCCCAAATATATCAAAGTGAGCTGGTTGAGAAACGGACAGGAAGTAACCTCTAACACCACAGCAACTGATGAGTTTCCAGATGCTGATTGGTTCTACCAGACCCACTCCTACTTGGAGTACACACCCAGGTGAGTCTAGTTTGGGCCTGCTAACAGGACTTGCTGATTCTAATTTATTCTTGTAAGTTTTTAATGTTTTCTGTCACCTGCTTATTTTTTCCCTGATGCTGTGGAGCTTCTTCAGGCTCATGTCTACGTTCTCCAGGATAGTTCCAGCGTCAGCACAGATCACCTTCCATATTCATTTTTTCAATAAAACAGCTCTGGTCTGATCCTTGGGCGCCCTCGACTTATTTAGCTCAGTCTGGTCTGTGTCTCCAGCTCACTGACTTTCGTTTGAATAACATGAAAATGATCCACAGATGCAGATGTTCACAGCTCAGCCTGTGAAACCTCTTCCCTCTTTTCCTTCCTCATTCCTGCTACAACTAAATTCACCCAAAGTTCCCATTTCTTCTGAGCCAAGTGGTTTCAGCAGGAACTGTCTGAATTCAGCAGAGCAAAAAATAGGAAGTCCCCCAGATTGTTTTTAACAAAGCAATAAACATGTGATGACAATTTCTTTGTTTTCACTTACTGAATATGAACATTTCCCTACATTACCGTTGCATGTGTTGATGTGTCATGTAATAAATTTCAGAGAATTCCTCAAACTGAGCCTGTGATGGACTTGAGCTAAAACATCATGAAGCTCCTGTTCTAAAGGACCAGTGCTAAAGACTAAGCCTTTACACCTGGATGACGGAGATAGTCGCGTGCTTGGAACACATTTCTACAAGATGTAAAATGATCAAATGAACAAATCTTATGATTCCATCAAAAGCATTGAGTCTCCAGGTTCAAAATAATTGTGCAGCCATGCCAACTAAACCTTCCTTTTGTTACTTCGGAGTGCTACAGCAGGAAATAGAATTAGGCTGGATAACGAAAAGTCACGAATTGTAGTTCAGTGTGAGAGTCAGTGATGTTGGTTTGTGTTGTAGGTCTGGAGAGAAGATCTCCTGTATGGTGGAGCACGCCAGCCTGGAGAGACCTCTGGTTACTGACTGGGGTAAATACCTGTCTGTATCTACACACCTGTACACACCTGTGTGTCTGTCCACCTGTGTGACTCTCACCTGTGTGTCCTCAGTCCCGTCCATGTCCGAATCCAAGAAATTGATGATCGTTGGAGCCTTTGGGCTGATCCTGGGTCTGCTCTTTTTCCTGGCTGGAGTCATCTACACAAGGATGTGCAGCAGAGGTCAGAGCAGCACTCACACCAAACTGAAGCCAGTTCATACCACAACATATGAGTTGGATGTTCATCAGCAGGATGATTTAAATCACAAACAAAGCATGAAAATTAGAATTATTAAGGGTCAGAGTTCAGAATCTCTCCTCTCTCTCTGATGTCCTTTGAGATTGTAGTAATAGTGGGGCCCCACAGGGCCCTGTAAGAGGACCTTTGTTTTTAAATCTGATATGTGAGAAATTTCCACATGAATCAGGCTAAAGGTCAGTTAAATATTAAAGATACTTACATTTATGTCTTATTCTGCCAGCAGACACTGATTAATAACTCAATATAACCACAGATAAATCTGCGGTTCTCTCCGCTGTGTCACACCACAAACACGTCAGCAAAGAATTTCCAAGTTTGCAATGTTTGAAATCTCACAAACCCGTGGAAAATATTGCCTGCAGAAAAGGAAAGAGGATCCATGACTTCCAGAAGCTGATGGCCCTTCTAAAGGGTTTGTTCAGAGTCAGGATAACTTGAGCTAAGAGTTTCTTTCTCTAATGACAGTTTCTACCTCTCGGTCATGAAAGAAGTATGGCGTCTCCCACCAGGCTAGCAGGGTGCAAATCCAAGTTTGTAAATGTGGTAACTCGAGAAGGAGGCGAAATACGAGTTTATAGTAAAAACCTCGGCCCAGTTTGAATCCAAGCGTTTCCCTGATCACTTAGGATCTTCAAATTTGTACCATAGGTGCATATACCAGGAAGCTGAGGAGTAGCTGTGGTGCCTGCCAGTATTACTTTACCAAAGCCAAAGTCTGAGCAGCATGAAACATTAGAACTGTGGCGTGTATCAGTTCAGCCTGAGTCGTCACTCTTTGACCTTTGACCCTTGCTCTCACTGTTACAGATGGATATACACCTTTGGCTCACAAGTTCAGTGAGAAGCAGCCAGAGGACTGGAACAAAGATGCTGCAGCTCTGAGCTTGTGGAGACCTCAGAAGGAGATGTTCTTCAAACCCGACTCTGAGCTCTGCTTCACAAATGTTCTGCCTAAGTCAGGTGACTCACTGTTTCTGTGACATCATCAGATCATCACATGACAGCTCAGGTCCTCACTGATTAATCAGCTCCTGAATGAACACCTGCACACTGTGACGGTTTCATCTTTGTGTTGCAGTAAAGCAGAGCCTGCTGGTTAGCTTTGCCACATGGGAAAATATTAGAGAAGTCATTACGTCATTTAGCACCAGACGGGGAGCAACAGCTGACAGCAGCTAGCAGCAGCTTTGGGTACAGCCAACAGTGTGGGTTGAGGGTGCCAGGCGTCTCTGGATTTGGTGCATTTCTTACTGTATTATGATTGCTGTTGAGACCTGTGCTATCAGCTATACTTGTTACTGTAGTTATTTGTTTACCAGAACATTTTAAAGTGCTTAATAATCATGTTTTGTTCTTTTTCTCTGGTGTTAACGCTAGGCCCTGGCTGTGTGTGATATACCAACTGCCTGGTTTCCACATCCTTCATATAAACGCTCTTAGCTCGCTGCCTAAGATGGATATACTTAGAGTCTGGGCCTGTTCAAGTAGTGCTGACATAACTGTCGTATCTGAAAGTCAGTTATCTAATTTTATAGTGATTAAAGACGTGGCAGTTGGTGGATTTAACGTTCATCACTCTGCTGTCCGAGAAAAGGCGGTGGTGTGGGGGTTAATGTAAAAGTCTGTGTTCAGGTCTTGTAGTGTAGTTGGGCTTCTTCTTGTTGCTACCACACCATCCAGCTCTCCTGGATTTCAGTGATATAATTATTGTCTCTGCTCATTCTCTCCATCTGTTGGAGTCTGTTTATCACACAGCGCTAAAATCTAGCACACCACTGTACTTTATACTCTCTGGTTGACTGGTCCTCATGGGCCTTATGCAGGATGCTTCAGTTCATACAGAACTGCATAGAGCGTAATGCACGACTTGCAGGTCTCTTAGTTAACTTTACTTACAGACTTTAAAAGACGTATAAATGACTCATCAGTGGAAACATTAGACCATTTTAGTTATAAGACTATTTTTTTATTGTAGTCATTTTAATATGTTTGTCTGAAGCAGGTCTCTTTATAAATGAGACATCATGTATCAGTGGGACAACCTGTGTAAATAAAGCTTAAATACGATAAATTATAATTCCAGATTAAGAGTGAAACATTGAAAAGCTGTGTGAGGGAGCCACACAGCGAGGGAGGGATGCAGGAAACTGTGATGGTTTAAATTGTCATTATTATGTTTCAGTGATGCCGCTGATTGGTGTTCATGCCATGACGCCCCCTGGTGGTCATCATCCTGCCACGCTGCTCTACAAAGTCTACGACTTCTACCCCAAAAAGGTCGCTTCTGCTAAAGCGATAAAAGCAGCTGATTTGCTTGAGAAGACTTTACCAGTTGAGCTGGAGCCCAGGTGAGTCCACAGCTCTGAGTGCAGGAACAAAGGATGAGGAGCAGATAGTTTATAAAGACACACTCAGGCTGCAGGGTTGCTTTATTTAAACCAGAAGATGAAACTGCCAGAAACATTGAGGGCTGGATCTCTGTGTGTAACCACACGTGTGCCTGCATGGTGAGCTCCTGTATGAATGAAGGGAAACACCAGTTTACATCAGGCTCAGTGTCAGGATTGTGATGTGGATGAGTCATTCTGGGCTTTTAATTGCAACAGTTTGTTTTTAATACAACTGCTTCTACATATTAGCTTTGGGCACATTCACAGTTTATAAAAGTGCACTGAGATTTTTATAAACTGTGATAACTGTGAAAGAGAGCAGACAGGACTAAGAGACGGAAACAGGACTGCTGGATGAGCTACACTCACTATGAGCAGAGACAGAGCGATGCTGTATCATCATTAGCTAAGCTCAGTACGAGTCATCTGTCTCAGCTGACATTCTTCAGTTTCTTCTTTGCTTTTAATAGAAAATGTTTCTGATTCTGAGCCAAAAAGTTAAAGATCATTCCTGTGGAAAAAAAACCCTGTTTTTTGAAAGCCTAAAAAAATACAGGAAAGCAGGTCACACCTATTTATCTACAAATTAATGACACAAGATGAGAGCTGGGGCCCCTCAGCCCCCCCAAACCATATATGATTTGAATCTGATGCTACAAACACAGCAGATAAAGCCAGCACCTGCTCCTGCTGGCGCACACCAGCGTTGGTTAAAGCAGTACAGGTTTGTACAGCTCCTGGTTCAAAGCAGTCAGACCTGGCCTAACAATGTTTCCTCTGTCTGTGCCCCAGGACTGATGCTGGTTCCCAGTAGCTGCTGGAAGCTCTGTGTTTGATCCAGGCTCTTTGAGTCAGGCTGAATGTGGACTGTGGTGGATCTGCTGGAGTCTCAATGTGTTTAGAGATTTCATCATGTGTGTGTGTGCAGAGTATTCTTAGAGTCTTTACACCTGTCTGACAGCAGGAGCCAACCAGGTGAGCTTCTTCCTGATGGACCTGAGCTGGAGGAAAGCCAGGTGTGTGCTGGGAAACTGAATCTTTTATTGCTTTGTTTGGCTGTCAGGCTGGAGGGGGCGGAGCTCTGTGGGTGTTTGTGTGTGTGGGACCTTCCAGTGTTAACAAACGCACACGTACATAGAGATGAACCCAGACTCAGACACTGTCAGCTGGATTTTACTTCCTCATTCTTTTCTCAATAAATCTGTTTCCACAGTCATGTGATCGGTTTCTTCTTTCAAACCCTGTAATGACAGAGAGCCGGTTAGGCTCTGCAGTGTGGGCGTGTGTTTACTTTGCTGTTAATAAAGTTAAGCAGATCAAACAGACAGCACACGCTGACCTCTCACCTCTGTGAGCAGCCAATCACAGCAGGCCGAGGACTAAAAAAAAACAACCTTATCTCATCCTGACCCTGTCAGTGGATCCACAATGAAGCTCTGGATCCTGAACTGAGAGCAGCCGGAGTCAAACAGAGAGTCGGAGGTGAAGCTGAGAATCTCCTGAGTGTGTCCATCAGGCTCAGATCCTGTGGTGCCATCACTCACTGCCGTCTTTCTACAGATGTTTCTCAGCTTATAGCATCAGAAAAAATCAGTGTGGTGTGTTTTTGACTGCTGTGTTGCAGTTTGATGGTCTGTTTTCTCAGTTTGTGACTTCTTAAAGTCTCTGTGGCCACAATCACAGCTGGAGAATCTTCTAAAACCAAGGAAGGGAGCTCTGGCTCTTCCTTTATTACCTCCTTTAGGAGGACACACTGGACCACCCTTTATAAAATAGGAGCGTATAATGCTGTCCCATAATTCACAGCAACACACTCAGACACAGATCATCATGTATGTGATGGCTGTGGTATCCTTGTTTAGCGTGCTGATGTGTTTGAAATAGCTTTTGTTGTGTTGCTCTTTACTCACCTGCTGACATCCTGCAGCTCAGCAGGTGCATGCTGAATATGATGAATAAGACAATGAAGCTTCACCTGCCTTCAGCAGGTGCACATAGTAACTCTCTGTACTGAAACTTCTATCTCTGGAGGCTTCCTCGATGTCCGCCGACCAGTCAGTGTCTGATGTTGATGAAAAAGAGGAGGAGGCTCAAAGGGTGGAGCTGGCGATATCAGAGCATGAGGAAGAGGTTGTTTGGGTTTCCAATGAACAACTGTATTCCAATTTCACAGTTGGTCTAAAGCAATGTTCCCTCTAATGGTTCATGTGTCTGAACACACAAACTCCCTGAGCAGCCCCTTGGACCACTGTGAGCAACAGCAGACGTGTGCACTGTGGTCACGCCAGCATCCAAGTTACATGTTTATTAAAGTAATCAAATTACAGCATTTACATTTATGTTAGACGACTTTTAATTAACTGCTTTAGCCCACTAACAATGTTCATGAGCTGTGTAGGATGTTAACACTATTGGAAGTTAAAATAAGAGAGTCCTGTAACTCTCTGTCTGCAAAATACAGTAAATAATGATCAACGTTGGGCACAATTGTGTAAATATAAACAACGATAGTATTCAGGAAGAAAACCAAACATTAGCTGTGTCCCAAAATGTCGGCTGCATCCTTCAGAGAACCCAGCCTTCGTGGTCTACGATCGAGAAGGCCGGAAGTGTGGTACAGTCTAGCCTTCTGATTAGCATCACCGCTGTCTCGGAGTTTAATAAACTCGGCCGTCTGTTCCTTGCTATCTAAAATATAACAGGACACTGGCGTAAGTTCTCGACCGTCTCACACTTCTGTTTTAATCAGTTTTTTTGTTTATCGTTTATTCATTATGTGTGAAAATCCCAAGGAACCCTTTCTCGCCTTAAAATATGTTTATTTTGTGGCCCAGAAAGATTAATAAGAGTCATTTTAAAACTTAGTAGCACCCGCCATTGTTGGCAGCTGAAATTTGGCTGGGCCGCGCTATGAATTCTGGGATATGGTGGGCTACAAAGGACACGTCGATACCCAATCTGTACCGGAAACCCAATCGGTACCCCGCATGCGCAAATCTTACGTCACTTCCTCTCTTTGCCAACATTGCGACATTCAATATATTTGAATGACACGGTTAGCGCCCAGTTAGCTCCTAGCATTTCTCAACAGCTCTGCCTCCTTTTCGACTACCAGGACATTTAAACTATGGATAATCCGTATACAAACAAATTCACGCTTTTCTCCTCAACAGAGAGCGTTCCCCAAAGAACAGCGCCGTAAAATAAGAAGAATGGCGCCTAATTACAGTTAATAATGCAGACTTTGTAATATGTAACGTGAACATTCATCAGCCAGATGAAGTGTTTACTGACAATTGACAGTGAGAGCAGACATCATCATCACTGTTCCAATCAATCCTCTCCACACAAACAAGCATAAACACACTCGATTATCATTAAATCAAAATCAACACACGTTTGTAATGACGCTAATTCAGTTTACAATAGGGTTCCTTCGCTCGGTCAGCAGGTGGCAGTATCCTCGTACACTGGGGAGTAAACTGCCATTAAACGAACAGAAGAAGAAGAAAACCCCTGCACATGCGCCGTACGGATCGGGTAGACCCGATTTGTACGGTCCGACTTTACACATACGCAGTAAGGATCGGTGAGTCCTGATCCGTAACTATCTTTTTATTTTTTTGTTTTTGTCTGCATTATATTAAATGTTTCATTATCGGAAACATTTTACTTGTTATTCTTAACATCTTATCAGATACTCTGACCCGTAACTATCGTAAAATACTTCGACCGGAAGTAGACACCTTTCGCGCATGCGGGGTACCGATCGGGTTTTCGGTACGGATCGGGTAGTGACAGGACACACCCAACCCATCCTTCAAATTCGTGAAAATGAAGGACGCATTTATCGGCCGCATTTGAAGGAGTCGACCTTCGACGCCTGGCTGTGACGTAATCGGCCTTCACATGCGGCCTCCGGACGATGCAGCCGGCGTTTTGGGGCACAGCTATTGTGTCAGGATCTAACACAATGTTTGGTTTCACTACCACGCACAGGCTTACACAGAAGGAAGGACTCACTATCACCATTGTTGCACATTTGAACTGTTGTTACCTTGCTGCACTGTAAATAAACGCACTGTCTTTATTTCTGAGCTCTGTGTCCACTCTTTAACAACCGTGACACATTGCGTATTTTTATCATAACTGGTTTTACGTGGCCGATCAACACAATTTAAAAACTGGTATAAAGTCCACAGTTTTTCCGGCAGTTGTTCCGTCTGTCCTGCTCACATCTCCAATGGTTGTACACGTTGTCATTAACGTGGCTTCACTCCACATCAGCCGCTTTGCTAAAACACCGGTGTCGGCACATAAGGACGCTGTCATAGCCTGTCAACCACGTTGATTAGCTGCGTATATACGAGTGTGAATCGTGTGATTGGACTATAATAATGATAATGGATTGGATTTATATAGCGCTTTTCAAGGCACCCAAAGCGCTTTACAATGCCACTATTCATTCACTCCCACATTCACACACTGGTGGAGGCAGCTACAGTTGTAGCCACAGCTGCCCTGGGGCAGACTGACAGAAGTGAGACTGCCATATCGCACCATCGGCCCCTCTGGCCAACAGTAGGTGGTAGGGTAAAGTGTCTTGCCGAAGGACACAACGACCAGGACAGACAGCCCGACCTTCCGATTACAGATGCGCTTCCCATCCCCCTGAGCCACGGTCGCCCACATCAGCTGCCATCAGCAGGTAGACCGTTTGTCTTGAGCTTGAGTGGAGTGAAGGAATGTATTTACAGCAAAACTGTGCACAAGGTAAAGTCAGAGTTTGATACCCTTTGCACTTGAAAACAGACGGTAACAAACAGGTATAACCATTTATTATTATTGTTGTTGTTGTTATTATTATATGTATGTACTGTTTGTTTGTGTTTCATTAACAGTAGTACAGCAGTATTGGCTTAAAACCTTGCATCTGGTATTCAACATTCTAATTTTCTTATGCTTATTTTTAGCATGAGGTGCTAATAGAGCCTCATTTGGTTGTCTCATAAATGACTGTGATTGATTTAAATTCAGTACCATGTGTGGATACTTTAAAGGTACATTTTGGATACGGTTGAGATTTCCAGTCTGCTGTGCACCCCCAAACACCCACAGGCTCTTGGGGCAGCTCTCTGGTAATAATCTGCAGTGTTCATGCATTGCCCCTAAACGACTCAGCCATGTCCCATTCATGATTATCTGGTCAATACAAAAAGAGAAATGCAAAGAAAGTTATAAAATATCAGTCTGACAGCTCATGATAACTTCTTGTTATAATTTTAAAAAGATGTCCCATTAAAGCCTGTAAACAGTGAAAACAATATTATAGAATACAGAGTTATACTGAGGACATAATACTGTAAAACTGTCTGTGGATATTTTCGTTTACCTACATTTATGAGTCATCTACACCTGGAGATCTCAAAGATAGCCTACTGGCAACAGAACAATTTTAACAGGAGGCTACGTCCAATGTTATAATCTTATTATAATCAAATCAAATCACAAGCGCACTTAAAGGACAACTCACTAACCATATTCCTTCTTCGAGTTTACGTTGAGGATCAAGGAGTGGGTGAAACTCTATGTTTGTCAGAGATACATTAATATAAAAGTTCTTCTTATTTGTCTCCTCAGAGATGATGCTACACTTTCACTTATAAGATCTGAGTGATACACTACGAGCTAGGGTCAGAAATTAATGACTAACACTGACTGTACTATGAGTGTCTCTGAAGAAAACACAAATTGTATGAATTTTACATGATTCCTCCTTGGTCCCACTTTCTAGCCCACATACTTGAATTATAGTATTAAAGTTCAAGAAAAACATTCAGTAAAAGGACTAGACGTTACAATCCCTGATAATGCATTGCATTAAATGGAGGAAATCTTGAAGGATGGCTGTTTTGAGGACGGGCAGCCCAGAAACTTTACCAGCAGCACACATCATTGTGTGCCGTAACTTTCAGTCTTTTACCCAAGCTGCCATTTTTCCTTGGTTAGGTTTAGGGATTAGAGATCTGGGCCCTATTTCAGGAAGCCGGTTTAGAAAACTCAGAGTGAAAAACGATACTCAGGGTTGAGTAACCCCGAACTGTCCAACTCGGAATATTCGGTTTCAGAAAGGCTGATAACAAGTAGTTCAGTCAACGCGGAGTTGCTTTAACCCCAAGTGAAGCGCGCGCACGAGGATACATAAAGCCCTGATAAGCGGAGCACAGATTAAGCGAGTCACCATGGAGACGGAGGGAAAGAAGGCGCGGTCAATGTATTTCACAGCGCTTGAGGCCGAAATTCTGATGGCAGCATATGCCGATAACATGCAAATTTTGCGGAAAAAAAGTAACACAGCCTCAGCTGCAAAAGAAAGGGAGCATGCATGGCAAAACATAGCCGATAGAGTCAATGCGTGAGTGTTAATTTAAACATTGATCTAGGGATTTCCACCCATTTAACACGTTATTTTATTATATTTTATTTTATACATTTTATTTCGTGATGTGATGTGAGCGCAGGTGCAACCCAACAGGCCCCAAACGTGCCTGGCAGCAAGTAAAAATGAAATATAAAAATATAGTCCAAACAGGTAAGGTGTAATTGTATTATGAGCCATAGTGCTTGATCTGTTTGTCCGATGTAAATCAATTGCAGTTAGAGGCTACATTAATTTCCCCTCTGTAAGCACTTATTGAAATTATCTGAGCACATTACAAGTACATATTTGCTTACTCTGTATGCTCAAATGTGACCCGTTATAGCCAACAGAAAAAAAGCGGAGGCCCGAAAAACAGGTGGGGGTCCTCCACCACCACCACTCACAGAGGCTGAGCAGTTGGCCCTCAGCCAAAACAGTGGGCGCCCTGTGACTGAAGGCATCTCTGCGGGGACATCCTCTGAGTCAGTAACCCCGCAAGACACAAGTGCCTACATAGGGGGTAAATTCAAAATAATACATGATGTGCATACATCCTTTCTTCACAGTCACCTTTGCAGTGCTACTCATTCATTTTGTCAAGGCTCGGCTGTGTGGCAGGCAGGAGGAGGACCCAAACGCAAAACTCACAGACACGGGGATGAACTCAAAATCACAGCTTTAATGCTGGAATGGCAGAACATAGGAAATACAAAACTAAACTGGGAAAAGTAAACTAACATACGCAGAGAGACACAGGGAGATCCACACAACATGAGGGGCGACGTCACACTGAACAGAGGGAGACGCAGACAGAA